GCAGCCCCCCCCCCCCCCAGGCGGCCCCTCCCACTGGCCTCCTCCTGGGGGTCCATTGTTTCCTGCGTTCCCCACGTCCCTTCCTGACATCCCTTCCTGACTTTGGTCCCCGGCAGTTGTCTCTCTTGTTCCGAGCCCGCCCTCCGGAGGGACGGACGGACGCGGGGACAGAAAGAAGGGGCCTCTCCCTCCCTCGCCCCGTGGAGCCGCGACCTACAAACCCGAGGGTATTTCTGGAAAACGGGTGGGAATTTAATTTTTAAAACGGGACCTGATTCAATTAGACAAAGAGCTTATCCGGAAAGAACCGGCTGGTGAATCTTCCAGAGACGCGTGCGCCTCTGACGACCCGGTGGGTCTCGGTTCTGTGACTCCCAGGACCCCCCCCATCTCGGGCCTGACCCCAGCGGCCCCTCGACCACTCCCCAGAGTCACCGCGGCCGGGTCAGCACTTACAGCCTGGGCACAGCCCCACCAGCTCCTTCCCTCCCTGATCCTGCGCCTGCAGCCTCCCCCTTCCTGGCCTCCACCCTCTCTCCTCCGCCGGCCCACTGCCCCCTCCCGGAGCCCATCACTTAGCGGACAGGGTCCTTCATCGCCTCCTCCTTCCCTCCCCCGGCCCGTGCACCTGGCCATCGTCTGGTGGCATTTCCTCTGCGTGCGGAGCTGGTCCCCGTGTGTCCAGGCCGAGCGGGAGCTGTGGTCAGCGCCCTGAGCGCCCGCCTGCGGGTGGACCAGACCCGGGTCTCCCTGGCAACAGGGTGTTGAGCGTCTCTCCGGGTCTGGTGCGCTGTCAGCTGGGACACGGGGACGTGCAGTGCGGGAGCAGCGCCCCAGTTCGTGCTGTGCGCTCGGGCTCGGCCGGGCTCCCGCGGGGTCCCCTCCCGTCTAGGGTGACCCCCGTCCAAAGCCCATGAGCGAGTGGGTGAAAAGCGGGGGCTGGAATGGGCGACAGCAGGACCCGGGCTCCCTCGGGGACGCTTCCCCCCTGACCCAGGAGCAGCTCAGGGGACCCGGCCACCGCCGGCCTGGAACCCCGGAGGGTCCCGGTCCCTGTGGTCTCAGCCTCCGCCCTCCCCGCAGGCTGTTCCTGGTCATCGAGTACGTCAACGGCGGGGACCTCATGTTCCACATGCAGCGGCAGCGGAAGCTCCCGGAGGAGCACGCCAGGTGGGCGGGGCCAGGGGCAGGTGG